GGAGGCAGCTTTACCTGCTAAGCCACAGCATCATCCCCAATAAATAAATCTTTTTTAAAAAGAAAATTGTTTTCTTTAATATAGTTTTAATATAAATATAGTTTTCTTTAATAAAAAATTGCTTCAAATATTTAAAGGAAAACCTTTAGAAATGACCTCTCCCTAAAGTTGATGCTAGGCACAGAGATTTTTCAAATATTCCCTACTTCTCACAACTTTGCTTTACTTCTTTGCCTCAAAGCAATTAAACAATCAGACATGTTACCGCATTTCCTCATCCCACTGAATGATTTCAGAATTCACAGTGTTTTATAACCATTCCCCTTAATGTCCAATAATTGTATTATAAAAATGAAAAACAATTATAGTGGGGCCAGCGCTGTGGCGTAGCAGGTAAAGCCACCACCTGCAGTGCTGGCATCCTGTATGGGTGCCGGTCCAAGTCCCGGCTGCTCCACTTCCAATCCAGCTCTCTGCTATTGCTTGGAAAAGCAGTAGAAGATGGCCCCAAGTCCTTGGGCCCCTGCACCCACGTGAGACCTAGAGGAAGCTCCTGGCTGGCTGGCTCGCTCACTCGCTTTCTCTCTCTCTGCCTCTGCCTCTCCTTCTCTATCTGTGTAACTGACTTTCAAATAAATAAATAAACCTTTAAAAAAATTATAGTGATGACTGAAATGTGCATAGCATTCCTAAAAGCTAAACAGTATCCTAAAAGATATAGAATATAAAGGAATTGATATAATTTATTTCATTACATCAAATATAAAACATCATTTTATGGTAAATATTTTATTTTTAGGTGTTACATTTCAAGTCTTTCCTTAACCCAGATAAAAACCCTAAAGTAGAAAAACGTTTGCATTGAAATGCAAGCTCCATGAGGACATGGATCTGTGTTTGAGTCACTGCAGTAACCTTAGCACCTAGGACAGTGCCTGACATCCATGGGAAACCTGAGAGCATATCAAACCCAAGCCTAATTCCCACCATACCCTATGCCTTCTAGCAAAATGCTAGCCTTATGAATACCAACGAAATACTTCATAACCTTGGAAACCAGTCACTCTAACCTTTATACATCTTTGTCTTGAAATATTAAGAAGCCATTTATCTGTTCTCAGATATTCCCATTTTCTTTTTCTAGTTAAAAGTATTTCATTTTACCACATTCTGCCTAGTGCTAGGATCCTGCTTTAAAGTAAATCAGCACATGAAAACAAATGATCTATAAAGAGAACAAAAGACTTTTAAAATAGGCTATTGTGATGCATTAAAATATAATTCAAGATGGCTCAGTATCACATGTCATTAGAGAATTGCAAATTGAAGCAACAGTGAAATATCAGCACGCACAAATTTGAGTGGCCAAAATCAACATTGACAATACCAAATGCCAACAAAGATGGAGAATGAAAGGAACTGTCATTTATTGCTGGTGAGAAAGTAAAATAGTTACAGTCATTTTGGAAGACTGGCAGTTTCTTAGAAAACTGAACACACTCCTACTATACAATCTAGCAATCATGTTCTGTGCTATTTACACAACTAAAAATGTAAATTCACACACAAAAAAACTTGCACACAGGTGTCTATAAAAACTCTCTGCATAACTGACAAAACTTGGGAGCAACCAAGATGTCTTTCAAATAGGTGAGTGGATAAACTATGGTACAACCAAACAATGCAATATTATTCAAGCTAAAAAGAAAGGAACCACCAAACCATGAGAAGACACAGAGGAATCTTAAATATATATGACTAAATAAAAGAAATCAATCCGCAAAGGTTTCATGTTATATGATCCAACTCTAAGACATTTAAAAAAAAAAAGGCAAAACTTTGGCGAAAGTAAAAAGATCAATGGTTTCCAGGGGTCAGTGACAAGGGAGTGATGACAGCACAGAGGATCTGTAAGGTGTGAAACTATTCGGTATGCTACTGTAATGGTGGAAACATGCCAACAGACTCATACATTTGTCCAAATCCAAAGAATGCATAACACCAAGAGTGGGCCCTAATGCCAACTCTAGACTTTGGGCAACAATGACACAGTATAGGCCTATCAATTGTAACAAATGTGCCACTGGGGTGCAAGAGGCTGATAGTGGCAGAGCCTATACCTATATGGGGACAGAAGGTATATGAGGACTTCTACACTCTTGGCTCAATTTTGCTGTGAACCTATAACCTCTGGAAAAATAGTTTATTGTAAAAGTAGGCTGAGACTACATTACACATACACACAAGGTGTTCAAAACACTCGTGGAGGGGCCGGCGCTGTGGCGCAGTGGGTTAATGCCCTGACCTGAAGCGCCAGCATCCCATATAGGCGCTGGTTCTAGTCCCGGCTGCTCCTCTTCCGATCCAGCTCTCTGCTATGGCCTGGGATAGCAGTAGAAGATGGCCCAAGTCCTTGGGCCCCTGCACCCACGTGGGAGACCTGGAGGAAGTTCCTGACTCCTGGCTTCAGATTGATGCAGCTCCAGGCATTGCAGCCATCTGGGGAGTGAATCAGAGGATGGAAGACCTCTCTTTGTCTCTACCTCTCTCTGTAACTCTTTCAAACAAACAAAAATAAATCCAAGAAAAAAACTCGTGGAAAATGTTTACCATGAAAAAAACTAAGTATGAATTTCAATTTTTCACACCAAAATAAAGCTATCTTTAAGAGATGTTTTTAAAAGTAAGATCCATGTATAGTTATTTCATCATACACATTTCCCATGAATTTTTTGAAGAATCTTGGTATATATCAACTGCAAAAAATCCTTAAAATAACTCTGTAGGCTCACTTTCATAACAAAGCAACAGGTGTAGTGGTTTATTTTTACTACAAAAAGAAGATAAAATGAAGAATTTTTATAGAACATTTATTCCTGGTAAGATGGCAAGACTCTCACCCTTCCTGGAACATTATGGTAATTTAATTGTATGCTTATTAAGAGGAACATTTGGCCGTTACCATAGAAACTACCAGGGCTGGTTGTTGCCTCCATGATTTGAGCAGTTATACCTGTTGGGCTACTTAAATCTAAACTTTCAGGTTCCTGTTTAACAGGGAAAGGGTAAGAGTGGCTAATACATGGATGGAGTTCTGCAAATTAAGGTGAACAGCACACACACACACACACACACACACCACCAAAGTGGTGGGTAAAAATTAGGTGGCTACCAGTTGCTAAGTCTGCCTGACTCTCTTAGGATTACATTTCCCTGTCTAGGATGGCAGTAATGTTCATTTTCACCTATACCAGAATATCAGGTTATTGTAACTTTGTCAGGATAAAGGGGAAGGACGTGTTTTGTTTCACTGGGCTGGAAAAGGGAACTTAGAGCTCTGAGAGATTTACTCTACACAATCTTCAAGAGACGTCTGCTTTTGCCAACATCTAAACCAGTGTTTTGTAAGCCATTTTCAACTGGACATCGAGAATATAATCTCACTGATACAAAGACACTGTGCTTTGGAATCTTTTAAGCCATAAGTATCTCAAGGAAGCATGGGTTCAAATACCAGGAAAGTCCCCTCCCCAATTCAGTTTTAATATGCCCACCTCCTCTTATCAATTCAATGTGACAATGACAACAAAATAAGCCTTAACAGGGGCCCAGGTGTCACTTAATTCTGCCTCAGCCACCTATTCTCTTGCAGCTAGCAAGTAGCCACACGTTTAATAAATGTATTATGCTCAGGAGTACACTAAAGGCCTCATCTAACAGCCATGGTTTCTGACAAAGGACACGGACTTTCTCTTTACCTGACCCAGCTCAATCGCTCACCAGCCATGGCAGAACCACCTGCATATCAAGGACTTCTTTGTGAACAAACAGCCGTGCCAAGTTCTATGAATACTAACTATATTTTCAGAAATCCTAAATTTGAAAAGGTGAAAGATTACAGAATGGCTAAATTTATGCTCACAAACATATGAGCATATGCATGCTCCAGCAGTGTACAATGCAGACAATCTTGAGTGATAAAAAAAAAAAAACACGATACTGCCAGTACCACTTAGAAACTAGATTTTAAAACAACACTTGCCACTCTAAATATTCAATTGTGCTAATATCTTTAATAATATTGATTGTAAAAAATAAAAAGGCTTCATTTCATATTTTGGTTCTGATATTAAAATCTTATCACCATTTCGTGCTGGTGACACCAAATGACAAAGGGCTTATCTAGTCTTTCTCCAAGCTCGAAGGAAAGCACAAAATAAAACAGCATCTGCTGTGGTTCACCTTTTCCTTTTCCAGCTATGGGGCAGCCAGAAGGAGGAAGCTAGGCCATCCATTAATTTCCAGTTCTGTTCCAAGTCCAGGTAATGATAATGTAGGAAACCACAGCTGTTCCCTATGGTGTACTAAGGTTCACCTCTAGCCCCAGATGGAGAACTTGACTTTGACTTTACCAACGTCCTCTTGCAGCTCCATGTCCCTGCTCTGCAACTTGTCATTAGGTTCTCCAGTTTAATACCAACATGCAGAAAAACATTACTAGGCATGGATAGTTAGATAGTAGATATGTTTATATCACAAGTGTATGGAGAGGACGACGTTCAGACCTGGGCCAGGAACCAGACACACATGCACACACCCGTCAGGTGCAAACCCCACTCAGGAGAGGGAGGGGCAGGAGCAGCGAGCAGAGGTTAAACCAGACACCAGCCAAAACAAACATCACTTCCAGAACGGGGCAAACTTTGGGTCTGGGCGGCTTCGGAGAACCAGAAATGGCCGGAGAAGTGGAGAGGGTGTTACTTCGTCTCAGGGAAAAAAGACGGGGAGCTCACCCAACACTGGGCGAGGATCTGAGCTGCGGAAGAGGCTGGTGTCCCCTAGAGACAAGGGCGTCGCCGCCATCCCCGGCTGCGGAGGCCCCTGAGACCTGGATTAGGCCTCCGGGTCTCTAGGAGCAGCCCTGTCTCCCCACTCGCGCCCCCCGTTCCCACAGACACTGTCCTCACAGACCCACAGGGACAAAACGCGCAAGGACCTACCTGGTGCAGCGTCTCGGCTGGCAGCTGCGACGCCCTGAACAGGTCGGCCACAGGACCGGCAGCCGCAGTGGCGGCGCTTAGAACGACCCTGGCGCCCTCGGGGGGCCCTGTCACAGGGCCCCCGGTTGCAGCGCCCGCACAGCGCGCGAAGAGCTCGGAGTAGCACTGCTGCTCGCCCTCGCTCAGCAGCAGAGGCGGCGGCCCAGAGCCGCAGCCTCCGCCCGCCGCAGCCTCCATGGGGCCTGCAAAGGGGCCCGACCGAACACCGTCTTCGGCTAAGGTACACCAGTCGCCGCCACAGCCACAGCCACAGCCACCGCCTCGGCCTTGGCCGCCGCCGCCCCCACGCCCCGCAGCTGCCGCGCGGCTGCTTCCTCCCGGCGCGCGCCGGCCCCGCCCCCGGGCTTGAATGTTGTGCCTCTGCCGCGCGGCACATGGAGACAGGCGCGGCGCCGACCAATCGCAACCTAAGATCGCACCCAGGCGCCGCCCCTGAAGCCGGCCCCGCCCCACCCCGCCCCTCGCCAGGTAACTAACTCCGCGCGCAGTCAGCTCAGCCTCTGCTCTGCAGGTGGTGCGGGGCAGGAGGGCTAGGGGGAGTCTCTGGCTCTGCCATGGCTGGGAAGGAAACATCCAGATCTACCTGGAAACTTAACGCTTTGCGGGGGGCGCGGGGGGTGCAGAATGCTGTGGTTTTCTCCTTAGGAGGCTGGAATGGATGTGGTGCCCGCACCACGTCTTGCCCTTCCTCAAAAAAGGACAAAGCCTGAGAAATTAGGTTTTCATTTTCCTGTAGTAGTACTGATTACGTCTTGAAAAGCCGGATAACAGATGACCATAGGAATGAAAGGAGTCCCAGTTATTACCCAGGGCATTCAGAGTGGTGAAAGAGTTAGGCCACTTTCTCATGTGCGGCTCAAGCCTGGACTTGAGCCTTAAGGAATAACATTGGCCACTCTGAAATACTGGAGTAATCAGAGGGTTTTCTTTAAGCCTTTATTGCAAATCATTTGATCCAAACTCTGATTTTACAGATGAGAAAACTGTTGTGTTCATCTTCATTGATTAAATATTCTATGTCTACACTAAAGTATAGAATTTTTTTTAATTTCATTTAAGGTATACAAGTTTCATGTATTTCATATATACAGATTTAGGAACATAGAAATACTTACCCTACCCTTTCTCCCACCCACACTCCAACCCTCCGTCCTCTTCCCTATCACATTCCCACTCTTAATTTTTATAAAGATAAAGATCTATTTTCAGTTTACTTAATGATCATATAGTTAACCATACACTAAGTGAAAGAGTTCAACAAATATTATGAAGAAGAAGAAGAAAAAAAAAACACTATTCCTCAATGGAAGAGACAAGGACTGTAAACAATCATCAAATCTCAAAATGTCCATTTCACTCCAACACATTACATTTTAGGTACTTTATTAGGTACATTGGATCAGGGAAAACATGATATCTGTCTTTTCAGGATTGGCTTATTTCACTAAGTATAATGGTTCCCAGTTGCATCCATCTTGTTGCAAAAGACAGGATTTCATTTTTCTCTTTACAGCTGAGTAGTACTCCATAGTGTATATATACCATAATTTCTTTATCCAGTTAACAGTTGATGAACAGACTTGATTACATATCTTAGCTATTGTGAATTGTGTTGCAATGAACATAGGAGTAAAGATAACTCTTTCATGTGCTGATTTCTTTTGGTTTGGGTAAATTCCCAGGAGTGGGATGGCTGGGTCATACAGTAGGTCTATATTCAGATTTCTGAGGTATCTCCATACTGTCTTTGACAGTGGCTAAGTATATAGACTTATATACTAGGGACTGAAAATACCTACCTCAGTAAGCAAGAGCCATCATCAAAAGAAGCACTTGTTCTGGTAAGAAAACAAGCATGTTAAAAAAAAAAAAAAAAAACTTTGGAACCCATATTGTTACACCTTGTCTGTGTGCCTCCTTCCTCCCCATTCCTCCCCATTCCTCCCTCCCCATTCTAAACCAGGCACAGTATATTTTTCAAATGTGCTTGCTCGTCCCTGGCTAGTGCTCTAGCCACTTTGAAGAGAAAGTCCTGAAAAGAAACCCCAGAAAGAAAAAACATCTGCCCCACCACAGCACTGGAATCCCCGGCATCAAGAATGTACATTTGCATCTCTTTTTCAAAAATTCTCTTTTTAAATACCACTGTTCCTGGACTGAGTTGCACATTTACATGCATGAAGCCTCCCCAGGAGGCACTAGCCCAAAGGAAAAAGAATTGGGGACAAGTGTATGGCAAGGCAGTTAAAACGCTGTTTGGGATGCCTGATCACATATCATTGTGCCTTATTTGAGTCCCAGCTCCTCGGCTTGGAATCCAGTTTCTTGCTAATCAGCACCTGCGAGGCAGAAGTGATATCTCAAGAAATTGTATCCCTGCCACACATGTGGAACACCAGATTGAGTTCCTGGCTCCTAGCTTCTCGCCTGGCCCAGTCCCACCTGTTTTGAGCAGTTGGGGCGTGAAGCAGAAGATGAAGAATTCTCCTTCACAATCTATCTACCTTTTAAGTAAGATGAAAATAATCTTTAGTAAAAGAAAAAGGGGGCCAGCGATGTGGCACAGCGGGTTAGAGCACTGGCCTTTATTAAATTCAAGCTTCACTTTGTTTAGAAATTTCAAAATATGAAAACAAAATACAGGTCAGTCTTTTAAGAAACTTGTTTCCGGGCCAGCCCTGTGGCATAGCAGGTGAAGCCACCATCTGCAGTGCTGGCATCCCATATGGGCACTGGTTTGAGTCCCAGCTACTCCACTTCCAATCCAGATCTCTGCTAATGGCCACGGAAAGCAGTAGAAGATGGACCAAGTCCTTGGGCCCCTGTACCCATGAGGGAGACCTGGAGGAAGCTCCTGGCTCCTGGCTTCAGATATGCATAGCTCTGGCTGTTGTGGCCATCTGGGGAGTGAACCAGCAGATGGAAGATCTCTCTCTCTCTGCGTCTGCCTCTCTGTAACTCTGCCTTTCAAATAAATATTTAAAAAAAGAAATCAGGAGGCTTGAATCCTCCAATTTTGTTCTAAAAAAAAAAAGAAAGAAAAAAGAAAAACAGGGTCAGCACTGTGGCATACTAGGTTAAGCCTCCACCTGCAGCACCTGAATACTATATGGGCGCCAGTTTGAGTCTCGACTGCTCCACTTCCAATCCAGCTCTCTGCTATGGCCTGGGAAAGCAGTAGAAGATGGCTCAAGTCCTTGGGCCCCTGCACCTGAATGGGAGACTTGGAAGAAGCTCCTGGCTCAAGGATTCAGATCAGTGCAGCTCCAGCCGTAGTGGCCAACTGGGGAGTGAACCAGCGAGTGGAAGACCTCTCTCTCTCTCTCTCTGTCTCTCTCTCTCTCTGCCTCTCTGTAACTCTGCCTTTCAAATAAATACACAAATATTAAAAAGAAGAAGAAGAAGAAATGTAAGGTATAATAATCCCTAACATTCATATGGGGGAGGGCTACAAAGCTTTGCAAAACACTTCCGTGCAGATTATTTCATTTATGTCTCACAGTAACTCTCCATGCTGCAGATAAGAAAATGCAGAGAGCATGTGATTTGCCCAGCTGAATACTAGATTAGGAGTTAATCTTCTTCCTTACACAACTCAATTTAGTAAATTTGACAGATGTTTATTTCCCACCAGATATAATAGAGATGGGTCAAAAGTCTCACATCAATCCATCTATCAATCCATCTGTGAGACAAGCAACATTTATTGGTAGGACAAGAAGTATTTACTGTGTCCCTAACTAGATAAGGTACTGTGAGGAATTGGATTACACACACACACACACACACACACACACAAGCTATGTTGCTTTGAAGGAGTATGCAGTCTCACTGGAAAAGACAAAACTAACACAACAAATAAAATGCTATGTATAATTAAGTACTAAATTGTGTATCCCAGGCTAAGTGCTGTGGGAGTTTAGAGAAGTTAGAAAAGCCAGAACTCACCCAGGAAGGCTTGATGAGCCCCCCACCCCCATCCCGAGATGGGTGTTGACTGAGTCTGGGTGGGATGGGAGAGAAAAAGGACAGGACAGAGAGAAAGGATCACGAAGAGGAAGGAGCCCCAGAGACTTGGCGCCGAAGAAGTGACGAGTGAGGAGCAGCAGGCTGAGTGAGGAGGGAGGGCAGTGAAGGTCTCCGGGAATAAGAAGGGAGTTGCTCAACAAAGGATGAGGGGCACAGCCAGAAGGGACGCAACAGCCTTAAACCCAGGACACAGAAGGAAACCATGGCATTTGTAATAATATTTTCATGGCTCAGGAATGCCAAGTACTGTTCTTTGTTTCTCCCGAAGTTTTCTGAATAGAAGAAATAGTTATCAAACTTCAAAATAAATACAGATAAGAATGTAGACTCTAGAAACACTTCTATCTCTTAAGGTTGACAGTAAACAAGAACCTTTCAGAAGAGAAATTTTTTGATTTTTTTGTGGTTCTAGGCTTACACACTTGTTTTGGGGCCATTACGGCCAGAAAAGCCAGAATGATCCTATATTCAGGAGTAGCCAAGAGAACACCTGTAAGCTTTGCTTTTTTTTCTTTTAATCAAGCATCAATGTGCTGCAGGGAGATGACAGCTTAAGTTAACAAACTCAGAGCAAGGCACTGGTTACCTATATGGAAGAGACAAGCAAAGCAAGGGCCCACAGACCAGGGACAAAATCAGTCATTGCCTAATTTCCTAGGGCTTACAAACTCAGAATGGATTTTAAAGTTTAAATAGTGGAAAAATCACTGCTGCCTGCACACTGAATAATACCTTCATGACATGTGGAGTGGCCATTTAGCCTAGTTCTTTTTTTAAGATTTATTTGAAAGACAGAATTATAGAGAGAGGTAGAGACAAAGAGAGAGGTCTTCCATCTGCTGGTTCACTCCCCAGATGGCCACAATGGCTGGAGCTGCGCCAATCTGAAGCCAGGAGCCAGGAGCTTCTTCCGGGTCTCCCATGTGGGTGCAGGGGCCCAAGCACTTGGGCCATCTTCTGCTTTCCCAGGCCATAGCAAAGAGCTGGATCGGAAGGTGAGCAGCCGGGACTTGAACTGGCACCCATATGGAAAGCCGGCCCTTCAGGCCAGGGCTTTAACCCACTGCACCACAGCGCCAGCCCCTAGCCTAGTTCTTAAGACACCCACATCCCATATCCGAGTACATGGGTTCAATTCCTGGCTCCAGTTCCTGACTCCAGCTCCCTGCCAATGCAGATCCTGGGAGGCAGCAGTGATGGCCCAAGTAATTGGGTTCTTGCCACCCACATGGGAGACCTGGATTGAGTTCCTGGCTCCCATCTTTGACCCCAGCTCAGCTCCAACTGTCATGGGCATTTGGGG